ACACACACACACACACACACACACACACACACACATATTGTTAGGACATATATGTGTGTATATATATATATATATATAGGATATTTTACACAGGAGATATATAGATATTTTCTATTCACTGATTTGGGACAAAGCTGGCTTTGCAATTGTGTCCTGTTATAAATTGAACTCTTTCCATGAATATCACACCCAGGATCATAGGTGCCGAAATCCATGCCAAGGCTCTCCTGGTTCCTTTTATTATGTCTCATTTGACATTCCAAATGGAGTAACACACCATGCTCGGTTTTCTTTAATTTAAATAAGACTAAAATAAAAGCTCATTCTCATATCTGTCATTAAAGAAGATACACGGTGCAGCTTTTTCCACATCTCCCATGCTGACAAATATCCCTAACAAATGGTTGTCCAACTTCTATTTGAATCATTCCAGTAACCAAGCTCCAAGTAGTTTGTTTTTCTTTGATCTTTTTATAGCTGTAATGATTAGATAATTTACTTTTAAAAAGTGCTTAAACTGACAGACAACCACTTGTTTTTGACCTTGCACACGATAAGGAAGTGTTCTACAATGAGCTACATCCACAGTCATTGGTTTTTTGGCTTTGTTTTGTTTTATATTTTGTTTTGAGACAGGATCTCACTATGTAGACCAGGCTAGCCTTGAATTCACAATCCTCCTGCCTCCACCTCACAGGTACTGGGATTACAGGCATGTGCCATAGTACCCATCCCTGGCAACCACTTTTATGTTCTATCTTCCATAAGCACAAAATGTATGTCTAAATCAGGAGTCAAATTGCAAACCTGTAATCCTAGCACTCAGAAGGCTGAGATAGGAGGATTGTAAGTTCAAGGCCAGGCTGAACTACATAGTAAAACCCCTGCCTCAAAAAATAGTCTGTTTTTTTGTATACATCTCAACCACTTCTGCTACTTGAGAATGCAGCTATCCAGAAACCTAAGCTTCTTTTCCTTTGGCTAAACAGCATAGACTCTCAATTGAAATTGTACCCCCAGGGCTGTCATTCTGAGACCATCACAATATACTAATCGTTGCTCAATTGTGGCAGTTGGAACTAGGCACCATGTCCCAGCAATCCTGAAACCATCTGTGTGGATGAATCAGCTCTTTGGTCTCTTGATAGCTGGTGTATTTGTTGATCAAAGACAGGTTGGCCACGGTGAGCAAACTTCTCTCACGATGCTGTATCTTCATCCTCTTCCTGATGAGTATACAATCTGCAGGGTGATCCCATGACAGAGCTATGAATATGGGAGAAATGGGTTGCACCTACAGTGCACATACGTTATATTTTAAGTAGCCAGTTCATTTAAAAAATATTACTCAAGCTCAGTTACCTTCCGCTTACATTGGGAAATATGTTGGTTTCAACATGTCCCACACTTGAACAAAAGACTTGTAAGATGCTTAAATAAAAGCAATTTTCAAATTAAATGTTTTCATTCTGTCCTCCTAGCGTTGTTTAACAGAGGGACTTTTTATTTTCCTTTAAGTCACAACTTAACAGACAAATTAAGAGACAGTTTTAAGAAGTCTAAAAAATATCATTCTGATAAATTCCGGGCCCATTTTCTGTTATTTGACACTAAAGCTCTGAGATCTGATATCCTTCTCAATGGCCAGTTCAGCCTAATTATTGAAATATTTGGTTGATTTAAATAATGATAAAATATTGTAGTTGAGAACCTTAAGTCAGAAGAAATAATTCAGCATTTCTTTAACATTAACAAGCATGTATGATAAAGTATGAGGAAAGGGAATAGCTGATTCCAAGCATGCTGTATATATGAAGCTGGTATTGCCTGACACTACTATAGTATTTGGAAAAAACAGTTTATGTATTTTAACCAAGTCTGTATAGTTTCAATGAAATAGATCAAGAAAGGAAATAGTGACTCAAGTCATAGTGTTATCTTTATTTAATGCAAAAATCATCTGACTCAGGTGTTCTGCATTTTATCTTTGTCTCTGGCTTAAAGTTAGGATATGGGCCTATTTATATACACAAAAAAGTCTCATGAATCTCACCTTTGTGCCCACATATACAACCTGTCCCTGGTCTGCTACTTAATAAAGATAATGGTGCCACCATAGTGAGTATTCCCATCTTGTCCAGTTAGGATGTCTTGAGGAAATAATTAAAAAGAATGTGTTCCTGTTTTTCTCCACTCCCCTAATCTCAAAAGTTTTGATACAAGTTTGTGATGTCACAAAAACATAGCTGTAAAATGGACTGCTGCCACTTTAGGTATAGAGTTGAAAATGAGAAACATAACAAAACTAAAATACAAAATTTTGTCTAATAAGTTTTCTTATCTTTTTATTTTCATAACTTCCTAGAGTTCCTTCCATTTATAATGAGAAATTTCATTAATTTACTCACTTTAAAAGTGCAAGTCCATAAACAGTAACCAAATACCAATGTGAATAAATATTATATTTTTTCAGATCAGTGTTTAAGGACAACCAGGGAAATGTGGACAGAGACTCAAGATTTTCACCATTGTATAGACAAGAAAGCAGCAAGATTTCAACTGAGGACCTCCTTAAACTAGTGTCGGATTATAGACGGTACGGCTCTGTAGATACTCCAAGTTTACTTAAGCCAGCCGTGTTGCCACTTGACTTCTCTCTGCATAACGATGCCTGGTGGCCTGGTTCTCAAATGTCCAGACTCCTCCAGAAGCAGATGCTTTTCAGGTGACTTCACACATGTCCAAATGGTGCTATGTGCATCAGGTATGGTAAAGCATACTTGGAATTCCAGCTTCTTGAGAGGTGGAGTTCGGGAGATTGTGAGTTTGAGACCAGACCAGGCAAAGTTATTAAGACCTAGCTTAAAAAACAAAAGGGTTTGGTGTATATTCAAGTGGTAGAGGGCATGCCTAGCTAGTTTGAGGGCCTGGGTTCAATTCGCAGTACCACAGTAAAAAAAAGGGTTTATTACATGAAAGAGTTGTGAAACAATGAATTATTTCAGTTCTCGATAGTTATGTAACAGACCACCTAAAAATTTAGTGTCTTGAAATAATAACATAACTTATTTTGCTCCTGAGTCCACAGTGTGAGCTTGTCTGTTCCACACATGGCATTGTCTGGGGGAGGTCATCTGGGTCCAGAAGGTCCACTTCCAAGTTGGCTCATTTGGTTATTGACCAGTTAGTGCTAGCTGTTGGCTTGAGCACAGGTGGGCCAGTGGGCTGCAGATCTTGGTTCTTCTCCATGATTCTGTATTGCTATAAATTTAATCAACCATCATATTTCTGTCATTCAAATGGCTTTAGAAAAGATAGCAGAAATTAGTCTGAGAAGAAAAATAGGAAAGCCAAAACATTTTTAAATGACCCACCATACACCCAACGTCTGGTGATGATAAGGTCTTTCATTAAGCTACTTGTCTTAAACAGTTCTCAAATATTACCTGTCTGCCTCTCCCCACTAAGATCAGCCATCTCCTATCAATTAATTTTGTCTATACTATGAGACATGTACCATAAGTATATGATAAGCTTTTATTTTAATTGGAAGGGAAGTTTGCTAATGTTCATTTTTAACCTGAAAAACTTTAGAAAACAAAATAAAAATAAGAAATAAAATCTTCAGAAAGCTCTGCTTTGTCAAAAAATCCAATCTGGATTATCTCATTCTTCTCAATTCAGGATGCACACTCCTGAAGTGAGGGGACCCTCTCCCCTTTAATCATCAAACACCCTGGACAAAGCCCACACGAGAGTCTGCAAGGTTACCCAAGCCACCATGAGAAAACTGAGTGCTTTTCCTCTTTACTTTTTTGCTAGTTCACTGAAGCACGAAAAGTTGTAGTGCTGAGCAGAAGGAAGTAGGCAAAAGGTTTTGGGATGAACTGATATAAAGTAGAGGGAAAAAAAACTGTCACCAAACTTATGTTATCAGTGAACAGCAAAAAAAGTTGACACCTAGAATACACAATGCAATGCTGACAAGAAATTATTTCATGGAATCTTCACACCATATGGCATTTATTCTTAGTGGTGTGATGATAAATGTTAGCAACTGACTCTCTGGGGAAAATAACTGCTTAGTACCGATGGCCAATTTCTGTGGTGTAAATTCTCTTATCATTGCTAATTTTAAGCTTTTAATAAGTCTTACCTGAAGAAAACACAGGATTAAGTAGCATTTGCACCATACAATTAGATATAAGCAACCCCAGGGACATGCATAATCTTATCTTGTGTTAAAATACTTAAGAAGTGATGAACTTTGAATACTTACTACCTCTATGTTTAATATAATTTATTTAATGTTAACTATTGGGTATATTCAACCACCGACAGGCAGAATTCCTAAAATTTAATATTCAGCTTTCCCAAGCTGACAGGAGCTGGTTCTGACCCTCCACTGAAATTTTTCCACCAATCAAAGTAGATTTCTTGGGAGGTGCAACATTTGAAGTCATTATCAGCAACTTCCACACTACCACAGAGGAAGACTGGTGAGATGTTTGTAGTAGAGATGGAGGGAAGAAAATGCAAGTCCTCAGGGTCAATGAGAGAATGTGGGTGGAGATGGGTGGGGAAGGAGAGGCTGCACACAAGCACAGAAGGGGTCAGGGAAAGCCCCCTCTCCTCCTTGTTAGTTGAAGAGGAAAAATACAGACTCAGCAATTGCAGCAAACAAGTCTTGCTCTCAAAACTGAACACTCATCCTGAAACAGAATTGCTTAAGTCAATTCAAGCACCTTTTGTTACCAAAGCTATATAAATTATTGTTTTGTTGCCATTTATATAAGTGAAGTAGGAAAAAAAACTTAATATAATCTTCAGAATATCTGTGATTTGACTCCTGCCTGATTTTTATTTTTATTTGCAATAGCAAATAATCTTCAAAACAAAGCTAGCTAGAAATCATCACAAGATAATTTTAGGGTCTGCTATTTACCCTTCTTAAAGCTCACAATTATGTACATTGCATTTTTTTTTCTTGAGAATGAAAATAATACTCTGTGTGTGTGTGTGTGTGTGTGTGTGTGTGTGTGTGTGTGTGTGGTGTTGATACACTTTCACAGGGCTGACAGAATAAGCAAAATGCAGACCATACCCGGAAGCCTGGATATTGCTGTTGACGCCATTCCTTTGGAACATCCAAGTATGAGATGATGTCATGATTTAGTTACAAAGTTTTGAATATTTTATTGGGGTGGGGGTAGTGGTTGCTTGGTTTCAAGATCTTTTTTGTTGTTTTTTGTTGTTCCCAAAATGGAAATGGAATTCATTTTGATATAGAAATTTGGGGCTTCTTATTTCTCCATTAAGAAAAACAATGAATATTGTAATACAAGACTATATTTTGGGAAGCATAACAATTATCTGGTATGCAAATCTAGGTTAATATCTAGCAAGAATTAAATTATATCATTTAATCCTAAAAACCCTAGAGGAGCTAGGTGTGATGGTACATGCCTGTAATTCCAGCTACTCAGGAGGTGGAAGCAGAAGGTTGAGAGTTCAAGACCAGCTTGGGCAAAGTTAGTGAGTCACTATCTCAAAAGTGAAATACAAGACCTGGTACATGCTTGTAATCCTATTCACATGGAATGTGTAGGTTGGGGGACAGAGGTCCAAGGCCCAGCCCCAGGCAAAAAGTACAAGACCCTATCTACATAAACAACTAAAGCAAAAAAAAAGAAAGAGAGAAGGGGTTGGGGACATAACTCAAGTGGTAGAGAAGTTACCTAGCAAGCACAAAGACCTGGGTTCAACCCCCCAGTACCAGAGGAAAAAGAAAAAATATTACAAAACCTTGGAGAATTGCAAATGAGTAGAGTGAGGTTTGGCTAGATGAAAAAAACTGATAAAACTCATAACAGAGGCATTTATATTCCATCCAGTTCCCCTGACTCAAAATACAGACTGGTACTGCCACCCTGTACCACCAAGGGCCCTCTGAATTCCCTGTGTAGCCACCCAAGTGGCCATGCAGTGATTGTGACTGAAAGATTCTTAAACTCTGTTATTATACAGAGGAACCTATGCTTTTCAGAATATATATTTTTAAAAAACTGCTAGATCAGTAAAAATTTGAATTTCAAAGCTTTTATTAACCTACAAATGAGAGTTTCACAATTTGGAATGATGCAGGACTTCCTGTAATGAACTGGGGAGAGGGCCATTACCACAGGATATCTGAATTACCATTAGCACAATTAAGTTTTCCATTCTAATAGTTTTCCACAGATCATTTTAATATGAAATACAGTGTACATTCTAAAATGTACTCCAAATCATTTTTATATTGATTGGTGGGAAAAAGTGAGCATAAAATAAGCCATTTCCCCTCTACCTGATTTAGGGAAAAGGACTTTTATTACCAGTGGAAAAGAAAAACAGCAAAAGAGGAAACTGAATATTCTCTTTGAAAGAACTGTAGGACATTACAGAAATTTGAACATACAATAAAAATATTATAGTTGATTTTTGGATAACTAGTTATTTGATTCCCAAATGCATATAACTGATCATTTTGATTTAGCTGAATGCAAGAAAATCCTCCACAGGTAAAGGAAGGTAGGAGGCCTTGCTGTCTTTCAGTACCACAACTTTGGCCTTCAAAGTCCTTAGTGACAAAAGTTTTGATTTATAAATTCCTATGGTCTTTCTTTCTTTTTATCCTGAACAACCAAGAAAGTCAAAATTTTAAAGTTTATAAAAATTGAAGAGAAAAATAAAACGTAGCGTATGATATAGAGAGCGCTTTAGGTCCTCACTGTGAAGCATTCCATAGGGGAAAATAGTACTAATCCATCTCGTGCTCTCAGTTGTAGACCCTCTGGGCAAAGTTTGCTTCTGTGGTATCCCAATAGCTGCATTATTTTTACAGTAGTGTAGCAAAGGTCAGCAGGTTACTCCCACTTAGGGTTCATACAATCCCACTTAGATTTTATAAGATTTGTTTTAATAAGATTTCTTCCACAGGATCGTTAACTAAAATTTACTTTTTAGCTGGGCGTGGTGGAATACTTATAATTCCAGCACTCAAGAGGCCAAGGCAGGAAGATCATGAGTTCTAGGCCAGCCTAGACTGAGAGGCTCAGAGTTTGAGGTCAGCCTGGACTACATAGTGAGACCCTGTCTCAAATAACAATAATAATGAAATAAAATAAAATTTACTTTTTAAATATAGAAAGAAAATAATTTTAGATGTAAGAGAAGAAAATGGTTATAAATCCCTCTAAAAGATTTGCCAGATTTTTAGACATGAATTTTGGTATTAAATATATAACTTGTTTATCATACCTATATCCTACAAATATTTCATAGAAGCATCAACTAGCATCTGTTGTTACAAAAGTATGGAATTTCTCTTTTGAGTGGATTCATTTTCAAATATGTGAAGTATTGCACACTTAAAAAGACCCATATTAAATGACAAACTCTTATTTTCTGATTTTTTTAAGACTGTGTAACATCATCCTTTATCCCTGTCAAGCCTTTCAACATGATGGCTCAACCAGAACCCACAGTGGAGGTGGAAGAATTTATTTATGACTCAACAAAGTATTGCCGTCCTTACAGAGTTTACAAAAATCAGATGTACATTTACCCCAGACACCTCAAGTATGACAGCCAGAAATGTTTCAACAAGGTATGGTACAAGTTTCTGAGATGTCATCATCTTCTGTCTTCATCACATCTAGACCATACAAGATGGATTCTTGAACATGCAACTACAAATAACTGTGAGCTAACACTTTGGAATAGAAAAATATTTGGAGAATGCTTAGTAAGGAGCAGCAACATCTTGGAATTCGTTATAGGATTATTTAAAGTTAACAGTTTTGTAGCATCTTAAGAGGTTACAAAATATTTGTCTTAGGATGTTCATGTTAGAATTGTGTAGAATGTTCATATTTGAATTGTTTAAAGGCGCACAATTTGGGAACATATTAATAATCCTTTCTAAAATTAGCCCTAAATATGTTCTAGACCATTTTTTAGTTTCTTATAATACTCTAAAAATAGCCTGCCTACTTCCTTCAATATGAGCTTTTTCTTTCCTTTTAAATATCTCCAAATCCTTCTGCTTCTTATGAATACTGTTGATAATGACCCAAGAAAATGTTGGTCATTTTACATTATTTCAGATTTAATTAGAAACTACATATTTTAGGCACTTAGATTGTGCTGGGGTGTTATTAAAAAGCAAATTACAATTTCCATTTTCCCTCAATGTAATTTCAGGCACGAAATATAACAGTGTGCATTGAATTCAAAAATTCTGATGAGGAAGGTGCGAAGCCTGTGAAGGTGAGCCAAGTCGCCAAGGGGATAGAGCATAAGAGGGAGGGCAGATGCCTCGTCTTTTGCACCAATGGGGGCTTTTTATGTGAGTGTGGTTGAAAAAGGAGAGATTTAATACATTTGTTTTAGATTTTTGGAAATATTCCTCATTGAGAGCCCTCATTAACTAGACCTATTGGAGGCATCAGTCTTATAGCTCTCTCAGCTTTTTGTGATTTAGAAAAAATAGAAGCCATTCTGATGTGAAATAAATACAAAGATTTTCCTCTGGAGGTTCTGTTCTTTTCTTAGGATAGCTCAGCTCTTAATTGAGTGTGTTATTTAAAATGGCACATCCTGGCTGGCCTTGGTGTGGACTGCACAAAGGGTGCAGCGGGGGCCTGGTGGCTGAGGCAGTGGCCCAGGGAATTCTCACATTCTGAGAAGGTGCTGTGGCCAAGTACCCAATGGCTGGAAAATCAGTCCCTATTATTCATCACATGATTTAGTAAGATCAATAAAACTGAGAGGTTCATATGAACTGTGCTGTTTTAACCTATAAAATTGCAACTGCATGGCATTCTTTTAGAGTACATATTTGATATGTACTGTTTTTACTTAGAGGTTTCAAACAACATACAGTAACCTATGGAAATCTATGGAAATAAAGAGGAAAGTTACTTTTAGTGTGGCCCAACTGCCAGATCTTGATGTTTCAGTGAATCTAAGTGATGAAGTAGTAAAGGACAAATCTAATTTCTAACTAACCCCATCATTATCTGAAATTATCTCTGAAATCACATGCTCTAAATATATACTACCAAGGTTTGTAACCTTTTCCAGAATGATCAGTTTGAGAATAAATACAGAGTAAAGAGAAAGAGTTCTTCAAAATAATCTTGAGACATTGTCAGCCACAACAGCAGGAGAGAAAAATTAAAGTGTAATATAATTGTCAGGCAAACAAAGACATTGACCAGAGTGTATCGGGTCTGCTAGATTGGCATTCTTATGGGGAAAGTTCTTGCAAAGTGGCACATCAGAGGTGTATGGTTCTCCTGCTTCATTACATTCTACACATCACAGGGAGATATACCAAGGCCAGAAGAAGAGCCCAGAGCTCTGGGCTAAGGAGCATTTTAAGTTGCATGACTTGGAAGTGCCATATCCCATCCTCTGACCTGATTAGGGACTGAGCTAGGATACCAGTGCAATGTGACAGAGCCAGGAGGCTGACCTATTCTACCAGCTCAGCCTTGATGATTGGGGGCTGGCATGCCTGGGGCTGGGGTCCACCCAAGACTGCGATCACCCTGGACCTTAACTCTAGACCAAAGCTAGTTCCATCATCCCCTTCAAGAAGCCATTCAGTAGGGATCCATGTTGAGCAAATTAGTGCACATGTCATAGTAGTCAAAGGTCAGATAGTGAATTGCTCCCAGTATTTGGCCCTGATGTAATATCTATATAACAAATAATAAAAGCCTTCAGATTTTCTTCCATATCCCATTGAATAATAAAAGCAGAGCAGTATGCCAAATAACTTCAAATTAACTAGATTTCAGGTCAACTTGGTAACTTACCACAAAGTATGTTTTGATGAAGGGATTTATGACTGAAGAGTTGACTTTTTTTAGACACTCATAATTGTTCAATTGGTAACTTTTTGAACAGTGTATTTATGGAAAACCTGGAGGTCCTCTCTTTACCTCAGCTGCCCACACAGCAGTTCTGCACCATTCCCAGAGCCCAGATTTCTCCGATGAGGTAAGGACCAAGCCTCCACTTCCCTAGTGGCAGCTAAAAAGGACGGGTAAGTGGATCAGGTAAACACTGTCCAGACCACACCCTCAGACCAAGGCCATACCTGGGCAGGTACATGCACTTACCAAGAATTTTATCCATTGATTGATGGCTGCTCCTGCGGTGTTTCAAATTCATGTATTTGCGCACAAATACATGAACTTTTGAAGTGTGATGTTTTTATTCTACCATTTTTTTCAGAGAAGACTAATTTTTTTCTTTTATTTCACTGGTCAGTATAATAAAGATTATATTAGATAACTTTACAAGTATATGGCAGCATTTCATGTCATACAGAAAGAGCAAAGGACTAGAGTATGAGCAAACACTAAGCTGCATGAACTCGACTGAACTTGGACCCTCCCCCGCACACACACATCTCAGTGTGGAAGGACCAAAACTCATTGAGTCAATGGCAAGTTACTATACACATAGCTTATGTTATGAGCAGCTTCAGACAAACAAGTTTCAGGGATTAAATTTAATTTCTTCTCATAAGACAAAGATCTGAACTAATGCAACCCACTGATATCATACCTGAGATTCAAGGTATAACACTTTTTATGTGAGGTTCCTATTGATACCATAACAAGTTACTACCAAAAACAATACACGTTTGTTTGTTACCTTACAGGTTTAGAGGTCAGAGGTTGAAATGGGTGTCAGGGGACTGAAAAGAAAGTCTCCACAGGGCTGAGCACCATCTAAAGTTCTAGAGGAGAAAGAGGCTGCCCACCCATGTTCCTTAGCTTGTGATTCCTTTCCAACAATCTCATCGCTCTAACCTCTTGTTTCTGCCCTCCCACCTCCTCTGACTCTAACTCTACTGCCTTCCTCTAATGAAGAACTTTTGTGATCACATCGTGTTCATGTGGAAGATTTGAAAGAATCTTCCCCATCTCATGGTCCTTTACTTAATCAGATCTGTAAATTCTTTTGTTTCCATGTAAGGTAGTGTATTCATAGATTCTGGATGTTAGAACATGGAGGTTATCTTTGGCAAGTGTTTTTCTGTTCATCACACCTTATTGCATATTAATCATTTTGAAAGTAATTAATAGAACACCAGTGATACTACCTGCCTGACCTTATCTCCTATCTCAAAATCCACTCAAATGGTCCTAATTTCCATACATAAATTCAGAACAGAAGGTAAAGAAAGTAGACAGAAAGAGCTATTATATTACAGAAGATTTATTGTATTGGTTGACCCTTTGGCAAAACCCATGTGACACTTGCGTTCTCTGTAGACATATGAGATTTTTTTAAATTAATGTTCTGACAGTTGTTAACTCTGGCTTTTAACCTTTTTCATTTTCATTTGTTTCCTGAAATCCTCATAAAAGCTATGAACTTTGCCACATGAGAAATGTATATTATGAATAACTTATTGATCCCTGCAGTTGCAGATTTAAAACTAAAATTTTATTTTCTTTTTTATTGTTTTATTATTCATATGTGCATACAAGGCTTGGGTCATTTCTCCCCCCTGCCCCCACCCCCTCCCTTACCACCCACTCCGCCC